AGTAATCTCTTTGCTTTCCATCACTCTACCTTTCTGCAGATTATCCAAGTGCGAACACTGAGGGTACAAGTGGAATCTCCACAGGTGTGTAGGTGTGAACCTGGGGTTTAAGTCTGAGAATGAGCTTTGAAAATCAGGAGACCTCTGTGAAAAGGGCTTTTAAAAGCAGCTGTTATCTTAGACTTTACGGCATCTCCCCCTGCCCCCTGAAATGCTATGCAACATTAAGCTAAAGCATATGTTTTCGGTGGGGGGAGATTCTGTAGCTTTTAGCAGATTCTCCCAAGGGTCATGAGATGAAAAGCGGTATTTTAAAAAAGAGAGCTGGCCCAGCACGGTGATCACACCTGTAATCCCAAGCCAAGATCGTGCCATTGCACTCCAGCCTGGGCAACAACAGCAAAACTCTGTCTCAAAAAAAATAGTGAGAACATGTAGTATTTGACTTTCTGTTTCTGAGTTATTTCACTTGGGAGAATGGCCTGCAGTTCCATCCACATTGCTGCAAAAGACATGATTTCATTCTTTTTTATGGCCCTCTCTATGTGTGAACTCCCTTGTGTGAATACACAGCAAGATGTTCAAGGCTGAAGTGAGCTATGATTCCAGCACTTTGGGAGGCCGAGGCAGGTGGATCACCTGAGGTTGGGAGTTCAAGATCAGCCTGACCAACATGGTGAAACCCCATCTCTACTAAAAATACAAAATTAGCCGGGTTTGGTGGCGCATACCTGTAATTCCAGCTACTCAGGAGGCAGAGGCAGGAGTATTGCTTGAACCTGGAAGGCAGATGTTGTGGTGAGCCAAGATCGTGCCATTACACACTTCAGCCTGAGCAACAGAGTGAAACTCTGTCTAGAGAGAGAGAGAGAGAGAGAGAGGGCGCTGAAGCTAAGAGCTTGGAAAACATTCAAGTTTAGGAGGTGTGAGATCTCAAGAAGGGGCTGGGCACAGTAATCCCAGCACCCTTAGAGACTGAGACAAGAGGTTTCCCTGAGCCCCGGAGCTCAAGACCAGCCTAGGCAACACAGTGAGATCCTGTTTCAAAAACAAACAGCAAACAAACAAACAAACAAACAGAGATCCCAAGAAGAGCATAGACAGAGAGATGCTGGGAACAGACTCTAACCAGGACAGTCATTACAAGGACAATCAAGAACAGGGTCCAGCTGTGTTCCATTAACTAAGTCACTCCCATGTTGCCAAATTCAATCCTCTGGGAATCAAACTTTAACCCTAAGCTTAGGTCCTGTGGTACGTCTCTCTTAATTTATTAAGCCCTATCTGGATTCATCCATCCTTGAAATCATAAAACGCCTATTAATCCCATTAGCTTCTCTACATTCTAAATGCAAATTTCATATTTATATATATTTTTTTCTTTTGAGACAGCATTTCATTCTGTCACCCAGGCTGGAATACAGTGGTGTGAACATGGCTCACTGCAACCTCAAACTCTCAGGCTTAAGCAGTCCTCCCTCCTCAGCCTCCCACATAGCTAGAACTATAGGTGTACACCACCACACCTGGCTATTTTTTTTTTTTTTGTAGAGATGAGGTCTGACCATATTGCCCAGGCTGGTTGTGAACTCCTGGGCTCAAGCGATTCTCCTGCCTCAGACTTTCCAAGTGTTCGGATTACAAATGTGAACCAGCATACCCAGCCCTCATATTTATGTCTTAATGGATATTCCTACAATTCATCCATTCATTCACTCATTCATTCATTCAGTGGGCTTAAGTCTCTCCTAGATGCCAGGCCCAGTGATAGATGCAGGGGATACAGTAGCAAGAAAAACCTACTCCTCACTGGGTGCAGTAGCTCACACCTGTAGTCCCAGGTACTTTGGAGGTCAAGATGAGAGGATTGCTTGAGCCCAGGAATTCAAGCCCAGTCTGGGCAACATAGCGAGACCTCTGTCTATAAAGAAAAAAGAAAAGCCGGCCAGGTGCGGTGGCTCACGCCTGTAATCCCAGCCATTTGGGAGGCTGAGACGGGTGGATTACCTGAGGTCAGGAGTTTGAGATCAGCCTGGTATGCATAGTTAAACTCTGTCTCTACTAAAAATAAAAATAAAAATTTTTAAAAAGTCAGAAACTTAGAAAACATCCCAAGAAAACAGAAACATTCCAATAAACATTCCAAGAAAAAAGAAAAAAAAAATAAAGAAAATATGCTCTTACGATGTTTACAGTTTACTTGGGGGAGATTTACAATAGCAAGATAATTTTGTATAGCAGTAAATGTTATGAAAATAACAAAAGAAGATTATTCCTAGCTGCATAACTTCATCAAGCTACTTAATCACTGTGTGCTTCTGTTTTCTTTTCTGAAAGTCAGGATAATAATTATACTTAGGACAGTGCCTGGCACAGAGTCAACATGATGGGTGTTTGTGTTACTCTCTAAGTGTGAGATCTACTTAAGACGGCGGTGGTTAGAAAAAACCTCTCTGAAAATGCAGCTTTCTTTTTCTTTTTCTTTTGAGACAGATTCTCTCTCTGTTACCCAGGCTGGAGTGCAGTGGCATAACCGTAGCTCAAGCAATCCTCCCACCTCAGCCTCCCGAGTGGCTGAAACCACAGGTATGCACCACCACACCTGGCTAATTTTTAATATCTGTTGTAGAGACAGAGTCTATGTTGTCCAGGCTGATCTCAAGCGATCCTCACATCTTGGCCTCCCCAGAGGGTAGCTTATCCAGATGGAAAGTAAACTCCCAGAAAACAAAACAACAGGTGGA